CTAAGGGCGTTAATACATGAGAAGTTACCATCGATGCATCTATAGCTGCTTTCTTATAATTATTTAGCTATAGAACGTCGAATGTGCATGGCTATGGACTTGAGCACGGTCAACATTAATACAGGGCAAACTTAGCCATGCAAAACTAATTGGAGTGCTAGCTTGCTATATTAGACGCGGTCAGGTTCAAAAGACAGTCAAATTGGGATCCTCTAAATCTAATGTATACCGGTGCTGTCAAACAACGCTATCCATGTCATGATTGATTGCACTTCGTCTAGTGATGGCCTTGGCGTGCTCGAGCAATCAAAAATGTCATTGCATGGACAAGTCATACTCAGTATATAGGTGGGCTGCTCACCGGGGCAATGTCAACATTTGCTCTCAAAGTTTTTGAGTATTGTAGCCAGTCGGGAGGCAAAGGAGATTAAACCTGATATCCAAGACTTTGAAAAGGTGGGATGTAGAACATGTATCAAATCTGCTTATACTGAATGTTGTTCCGTTATGTATGATCATGGTGTGCATTTAGCCGGCATGTTTCCAAACATATTAGCGGTGGATTCAAAATCCCAAGGTATTCCTGCTGGCTGACTGTCATGCTTGAATCTGCCCCGAACAGCCAGATTATGGCACATACAATCAGTATACTGTCGCGTAAGCAACATTGAAGCTTGCTGCACATCTCCGCAAAGAAAACAACAATAAGATGGAATGAAAAGCTCAAAAGTTGCTTGCCAGCTTGTAGACACCTTACTGCCTAATCAGGAAAGACACAGAGTACCCTCCATCATCACAACAGCACCTGTCCGCTTTCAAACCATCCCCAACAATGTGCTTGTGCTGTAGGTTTAAGCAAACAAGGCTCACGAAATTCAAATGCAGTATCTTACAACCTCTGATTCACCATTGAAACAAATAACGGTACTCGTGCAGAACCTTGCAAAGGCCGCATGGGGATAGGTGCGGGTAAAAGTTGAAAAGCAAATTGCATGCGGCAAAAATGGCACCCTTGCTGAAGGACTGAAGAAGTAACAGGGGTGACTTCTAGAAGCATCGCCTCAGTTCATCATTGAGGAACAATCTGAATGTTTAAGTGTTCTTCATCTTGATACATGTCAGCAAGCTCCAGCGATGGAGAGAGAGTGTATCCTTGTGCAAGGACCAAACATTCTGAAAAGATGGTGACACAAACGACCGGACAGAAGGGACTCCTTCACACAGAGAAATAGAGCAAGAAAGGAACTTTAACTCCCATGATGTTGACCAAAAAAGCAAAGGAAAGCAAAGCAGAAGGGATTACTCATTTATTTCATATTCCAGAAACTGCCAAAAGCCCTCCTGCAAAGTTTTCCTTAGGAAGGAGAGCAGCGGCAGCAGCCAACTTAGATCCACATGAAAGGCTTCCACTGGCAGAGCGACATGAGCAGCCACTGATCCTGTATCCAAGACTGTGATGGGACAACCGAGCAAACACTGGGTTCCCATTCAAACACTGCTTTTTTCGATGCAGTATCCTGTAAAGTCTGAGCGGCTTGCTACAAGATACGTTAACCCCTAAAACAAAAGTGTATGCAGACAAACTCTGCAGAAGAGCAACTTGCATCCCAAGACTGCTGTTCCAGTCTGTCTTGCCCACATCCTCTCTTCAAATGCTAGTCATAGAGAACGTTGAACCCCATTCTTGCACGTGTGGTAAAGGTGGGCAGGCAAGTTGCCTAATTATCTTTTGGGATGCAACAATGCAGCAGAGTGCCAGCACACAACCCCTTAATAGTCCATCTTGATATGCTAGAGATTGTCGTCCAGTCCATCTTTGAGAATGGAGAGATTGATTGGCGCTAGCGGAAGCATCGGCAAAAACCATGTCCAGGGGTTGCGGTTGGATCAAAACCTTGGATCCAGAATCATACCTGTTGCCTTCTAAATCATCAGATCCAACAGCATCAAGATGGTTTAATTGAAAATGAGGAGAGCTCCAATGTCCGGCTAAGAGAACAGGTCAGTGTCTCGGAGGTTATTCTACACAATGTAGTGACACAGTCGAGTCTGATTCCTTGATGATGGCAGTTCTTGTCCTCCTAAATATCTAGCAAGTACACTCTTCAACCCCATTGTTCCTACCTCAAGAGTTTTCCTTGCTCTTTCATGCTCCCTGCGCCACCCAATGCCCCTTCCTCAGCCCCATAGGCAGCCCATCCCACACCTTTGAAGAAATCTTAAATGAAGTCACCGCCACTTTGTAGCTTGCAATGTGCAGGCCTACTCCGACTCTTCAAGAGCAGCCTCAACTCTTAGCAGCAAAAACCCGACTGCAATGCCTGTCAGAACAAGTCCGCTAATGATGGGAATGATAGGGAACATCTCAGCAGCGATGTCTGCCTTTGTTTGAAGGGCGCCACCCTTGGCCTGAGAAGAAACTTTCCTAGCGCTGGCTGTCGCCTGAGCGAACTGCTGGTTCACTGACTTCTGCTCTGCAAGTGCAGAAACCCCCCGCGACTGCATTTTCAACCCTCCATACTGGCTAAAGGACACTGGCACCTTCGCCACGGGCGTCGAGGCCTTGGTGGTCCTGGAAGAGGCAGCCGAGGCAATGGCTGCCGGCACAACCACAGAGCAAGCAGCGACAGCGGAAGCCATTGCAGATGAGGTTCAGGGAGATGCACCAACGGCAAGATGCAGCTCCGTCTTTGCGTGTGGATTCAAAAGCGCCTCTCAAAATCAAGCGCCAGCGGTGAATTTCAGCTTGCTTCTTTTTGCTTCTTGTTCTCACCAGCTGGGTACTTTGCTCTCCGGTAACGTACAGGGTGTTTCACAAGACTACTCCAACCCCAATGTACAAAAGTACCCAAGTCGAAGCAGCACACCCACGAAGAGAAGAGGACGGGTGGTGGTGTCTTATCCGCGAGACATTTCATCTGAGCCGTTCGTGGACTCTTCGTCCACTGTAGCCCGTTCGATGCGAACATATCTCAACCCATACTAATCTTGTGCGGATGTTGGCGACAGCAAAAGGTACTCGAAGCGGACGCTCCACCCAGAGTCATGCACTTTCGTCGCCCGAGAGGGCCATGCAGCGACGATTTGTCAGACACGGCTGTGAAATGGTCGCCGCCGGCAAACTTACAAGTGTTCGCAGACGATGGCAGATACCTGAGATAGCAAATTGCAGACGGACCGCGGGATCGTGCTTCATTCCTGGTTGTTGAGGCTCTACTTAAAGCGGACGGAGGCTGCATGGAGCGACAGCTTTGATCTGAACACCCTTTTGTAGGCTAGGTATCCGTAGGTTGTGGATCTGAGGAAGCTAGACTGAACTTCTCCTCTTGGAAAACACTAAATTCGTTTCTTGCACATTTTTTTTGCCCCGAAAGGCAGCCTGATTAAGCATGGAGGCGTACAAGCGTGCCAGAATGGTCATCTCTGCAACAGAGGACAACGATGAGGTCACGCCCGTCTACAGGCTGGATGAGATATGTGATGTGTGCAGGAGCTCGCCGCCGGATGTTGTCAAGGACATTGTCGACCATGTCATGAGGCGTCTAGACCACCGGAGCCCTTACGTGAAGCAGAAGGTGATGATACAAATTTCTCTCATGATCACTGAGATGACAAGCTGTAGTTGTCTTGTAGGGTTTTTATCTGCATGCCAGCACAATCAAGTTCTGATGCAAGTTGAGCTCATAACATCTGACCGCCGATATCAACCTTCAGCTCAGCTTTCTGAAAGCTTGAATCTTCCGTCTGGCCTCAGCACTTTTCCGCTTTTGGAATTGATCAGCTGCAATCAGTCCTGAAGGTGTATGTTTGAGCTGCTTCTTGGTGAAGGATATGTAGTGTCAAATCATCCCCGGGGTTTCTGGTTTCAAATCCTCATTCAGTTGCAAACCTATCTTAGCTCCAATTTTAGATCTATTTATGCATAGACGAGTATGCGTACGATTCCTGCTGTAGGATTTGTACAGCTTCGACATTGAGGTCTTTGGCGCGCTTGTGCGATCCACATTCCAGCTTTGTGGAACTTTGCAGAGCGCTTTTCCACAGGATGCTGTGTGCATGTTACAACACTGCAGAAGAAAAACTTCGCTGAAATCCTCTCTCTCCGCCAGGTCCAGGCTTTATGTCAGCTTTCATTCGGCTATCATTCTGTGTTCTTGTGGAATCAGGTGCACAGTGAAGTGACCAGCCTCTCAGAAATCGATGAAGATGGACGTGCATAAACTTTGAAACCCATGACAAGGCTGCAAGCCAACTGTCTATTCCACTTTTCTCAGGCCCTGCGCCTGATCAAATTCGCCTCTGGCCGAGCTGGGCCCGATTTCAAGCGCGACATCCAACGCCACTCCGGCACCATCCGTGGCCTCTTCCACTACAAGGGTCAGCCGGACCCCCTGAAAGGTGACGCCCCGAACAAGGCCGTACGGGACATGGCGCACGAGACAGTGCAAGCGATGTTTAGCACCGAGGCCCCTCCGTCGGGGGGGCCAGCCGCGTACTCCCACAAAAAGATGGAAGGTTTCGGGAGTACTGGAAGCCGGGATCCGGGAGCGGACTCCGGCAGGGGCGCAGGGTTCACGGGGATGATCTCAGCGGGGATGAAGGAGCTGGAGACGGCAGTGATGGCCAAAGGGGGGCTGAAAGATATGGTCAACAGCGCAGTGGGCCAGTACACGGGGCGTGGCTCCAGGAAGTCGTTTCTGTCTGATGAGAACGACAGGGGGTCATTTCGCCCCCCCCGCGAGAACGAGGGGTCGTACGGTGGGGGCGGGGGCGAGTCTTGGCGAGGAGGTGGGGGCAGGGGGTACTCCGGTGGGAGTTCAGGGTTTGGCGGTGAGTATGGCCGAAGTAACGGAGATTATAGCCGCAGCAACGGGAGCTTTGGTCGAGGGGGGAGCGCAGACGTGTGGACGAACGAGAGAGCCGATGACGATGGGGCGGGTGATGACGTCAGCAATGCCAGAGAGATCGAGACGACTTCTTCGGCGGCGGCAGGGTCTGAGGAGGAGAGGCTCGTGGAGGGGATTACAGCCCCTGGCGGGGTGCGCCCTGCGCCGACGAGGGAGGCGCTTCAAAGTTTCATGAATTCTGCGGCGACATTGGATGGACGGGCGATTGCGGGGAGTCTGGAGGGGAAGCTCCGAAGTCAGAGGTGGCAGGTGAGAGACAGTCAATGCACCTTGCTGACCGCAAGGGGCTGAATTGTTTCGCAGAAGCTTCTTTGCTCCTTAATGTGGCTGAGGGAGATCGCTGATCCGAATAATCCCCTCTACAAACCTTTGCCATAATGCTCTTAACACTGATCCTATTTTGCAGCACTCGATGGTCACCGTGCTTCTTGGTATGGGAGGGCTGTGCATTTCCGCTTGCACCTTGAAACACCACGGTTCTGACATTGCCTGCTCGCTTTCACAGCGTTCAAAGGCTTCGCCCCGGTCTCTGCTCCAATTGTTGTATTTCGAATATTGTGATCTAGGTGCGGTTTCGGGCCCTCTGCGTCATTGAGGCTCTCCAGCGCCATGAAGGGGGCGGCGGTGTTGCAGCAGTGACGGAGCACTTCCAAGCGCAGCCAGGTGCGGTGACGAAAAACCTGGACAGCCCCCAGGCGTCCGTCCGTGAGAAGGCAAAGAAGGTGGGGCCAGCCATCATGTCTCGGCACTTGCGCTCTTGCAAATCGCATCTGCTATATTGGAACTGGTTGGTGCACTCCCGAAACTCTTGCAGGGCCTCTCGCCACCTCCGATCTAAGAAAGTTCGCGCGCTGTTCCTCATCGAGAGATGCACCCGGAGTTGGTCGACCCTTTCTCTCTGATTGGCCATCTTCGACATTTTTAGATTGCAAGACTAACTTCGCCCTTTCGGGCGTGGGATTGTGGACCTTTGTTTGATCTCGAAACCGATTTGCATTCGCGTTCCGCTTCTGCTCCGCCTTTCCTTCACTAGAAAGCGAACGCCACCAGTCCATCTCCATTGCGACTTCTTTGAACGACGTAGTGAAACCCGTATTGGGCTTGTAGCCGGAGAATTCCTGACCATCTACGTGCTTTGATCGCACTGAGATTGTCCTCATATCTAGGCAGTCTTAACCAATCAGCAATTGTAACAGGACGACATGCCACCGCTCCAATCTGATTTACCTTTGAAATGCAGATCTTGGTCAACTTTGGTCTAGACAACTCTGCCGCTCCCGCTGCCCCCGCCGCCTCCAGTCCAGTCGCAAAACCGGCTCCTGTAGCAGACCTTCTCAATGTCAACGAACCCGATCTGCTGGGCGCTAGCAGCAGTACGCCTGCCGAACCCCCAAAACCCCAAGACCCCGCACCTTCCGCCGACCTTCTAGGAGACGATCTGTGGTCCGCTCCCCAGACTAGTGCCCCCCCTCCAGAGCGCCAAGCTTCGGGCAGCGACCTTTTTAGTGGGCTGACTGTGGGCTCGAGTGAGGCAGCCCAGAAGCCCGGGGGTGGAGACTCGTCCGAGCTCTTTGCCGGGATGAATCTTGAGTCGGGGGGGCCTGCACCAGCCGCGAGCGTCCCCCCTGTCAGCGAAGATCCCTTTGGCCTTTCCGCGCCGGCTGCCAACGGCGGGAAGGATTCTTTGAGCGACTTGCTGGGGGGCTTGTCAGTGGCGCCACCGCAGAGTGCCACCGTGCCTCCTTCCCAGGGGGTCAAGTCGCCCCCCAGAGCAGCCCCCCAGGCTAAGCAGCCGCTCCCCCCCATGCCTATGCCAGGCTTTGAGAGCGCTCAGTGGCAGCAGCCGCAGGGTTTGCAGGGTATGCACCCGCCTCAGGGGGTGCCAGCCACGGCGTTTATGCCCCCCCAGCAGATGGGTTTCCAGCAAATGACGCCCCAACAAATGCAACAAATGCAGATGGCGTATTTACACCAGATGCAACAGCGGGGCATGGGCATGCCCGGGATGATGCCATTCTCCGGGGCCCAGCCAGGTTACAGCCCGGGTTTCCAGGCTGGGTTTGGAGGGTTGACCCCGCAGCCGCAGCCGGCGCACGGGATGCCGCAGAATGGGGCGCACTTCGGAGGGGGGTTTGGCGGAGGCTTGCAACCAAGCGGGGGGTCTTTGGGCGGAAGCACATTCAGTTCGCTCGGGGCAGGGGGGTCGGGAGACTTGTTTCAGAACGCCGGAATCGCGCATTCGCAAGAGAACAAGGCCGAGACCAAGGCGTTTGACTTCATTGCGGTAAGTATGGTCAACTCACGAGTGAGGAAGTTGCGCTGCTTTGCTTGGCAGCCCGGCGAATGGCGAAGTTTCTCGCTGGCTGGGCAGAGGAATTCCACGTCATTGACTGCATTCGACGCATGGGGCTCTTCCATTACGATGTTGCTTGATGAATTAGTCTTGAAGTTAGCTCACGGCTTCGAGCAACATCTGGTTGCAAGCGTCCAATCTGTCTATCGTCGTTTTTGTAGGATCAATTGAAAACGGCAAAACCTGGAAAGAGCATGCGGTGACCTGATGCGAGGAGGGGAAAGGTTGTAGCTCGAGGGCTACCGATCCAGCAAAGCTCACGTATGTGCATCTTCTGTATCCATCAAAGTCTGATATGCTGTTGACTCCACTCTACTCGTTGTAAGTTTTTCACCAGAGACTCTCGTGCAAAGTGCGGCGCAAACTTCCTCAAATCTCAACGCCTCCCCAAAGTGGTAGGAATAATGGAGAGAGGTCAAATCTTTCTTGCTTTACGAAAATTCCAAACTAGTTGTAGCATTTCCTGATTCTGAGCAAAGCTTCATCACACAGAGCGTGCATGTTGGACCACGAATATCGTGAATCTTCGGATTCTGGCTGCCGCTCGTGAAGATGTTCCTACATGCCAGCCGAAAAAGCAAAGATGTTGGCAGAGGATCCGTTTTATACAAAACATCATGTTGCTACGTGCTCATACAACATGTCGTTGTGCGAACCGGATCGAGATGCATCTTTGAGAATCCTGTTCAGAACGTTACGCCAATGACATGCATCTTCGTTGCCATAGGATTAAAGAAATCCACTGTCGGCGGACGCTTGCATCATGATTATCTGTGGCAGGTATATCAATTTGACCAACTCGACTTGTGTTCAATACATGTAACTGTCAATACGTGTACCAACTTTGACTTGGACTTTCATGCTAGTAGTCGTGCCAGGTGCTGGGAGTCCAGGTCCTCAGTCCACCTTGCGTCAACCATATGCGTATAATCATTACTCGGCTGAGTTGGCCCGGCCAAGATCGCGCGTTTTGCGGAAATCCTGCCTTTGAGGACCTGATACTTCAACACGTGGATACTCGACGAAACATGTGGATCAGGCAAGTCCATGTCAGCAAAAGCTTCCTATCCAAAATCTCTGCACAACTAACCATCTGAAATCCGGCATAAAATCGGCCAATGCCGAGCCGCCACGTGCCCCCCTCTTCGTTTCTGCTGGTGCCCTTGAGATTCCGCTACGGGGTCTCTCCGACCGGGTCTGTTCCCGAGTGGGACATTTTGAGGGCAAGGAAACGTAGGGCCCGGTACTTATGCGCATATTTTTGGCCATTCGTGTACGCATTTTCGACCTTCTCGACCAGACTCAGCCTCGACTGCAGCGGACTGCGGGCGTAGAACATCCAAGTCGGCGAAGGCAAATTCTCACTCTATAATTCCATATGCCTTCGGCAACAGAACGCCAGTGCGACCCGGGTTGCAGCGCTTAAAGCCTGGACCCATGGCTTTAGAGAGAAATTTCAAATGAGTGCATGGTCGGTTGATCGATGGATTGAATCGGCAGTATGTTACTATCCCAGCCTTTTGACGGACCCTCATGTGCCTTATGATGGAAACCCCTGCAAAAGGGCAGATGTACGTGAAAATGCTTATTCAATCACCGTTCTTTCTCCGTTGATCGAGACGTTCTGGAAAGTACATGTACATTCCAGCCGGGGAACAAATATCCAACGTGTTTTTTCAAGTCAAGAGCTCCATTGGGTGGTGTACCACATTAGGACTTGCATGATCTTCCTTCAAGATTGGATTTGCTACTGAAGGGACCGACATATGAAGTGCTATCAATGAGTGCCATACTTCTATGCTTACGAAGCCATTTGGGCGCAGATGCGCAACGTTGAGTAATAAGTGTTAATACTTTTAGCTTGAAGCCAGTATGCAACGCTCTACAATCGAAGCATTGGAAGGAGTGCTTGGCAAATGATATCCGTCCATAGCGAGAAAAGTGAGTAATTGAGCAGCGTCAAGTCGCGTTTCGCAGCACTTGTTACAACACCGAGGCCTCTCTTCTTGGCTCGTCATGCAATATCACGTAGGTGTCACATGCCCATTTTGGGT